TGGAGGCCATCGCTACTAGGAACAAGAAGCTACTAGTAGCTCCTGGCGTCGCTACTATGGACAAGAAGCTCGTAGGTTGGAGGCCATCGCTACTAGGAACAAGAAGCTACTAGTAGCTCCTGGCATCGCTACTAGGAACAAGAAGCTAGTAGGTTGGAGGCCGTCGCTACTAGGAACAAGAAGCTACTATATAGTAGCTCCTGGCATCGCTACTAGGAACAAGAAGCTAGTAGGTTGGAGGCCATCGCTACTAGGAACAATAAGCTACTAGAACTCCTGGCATCGCTACTAGAAACAAGAAGCTAGTAGGTTGGAGGCCATCGCTACTAGGAACAAGAAGCTAGTAGGTTGGAGGCCATCGCCAGCAAGTCCTTCATGTCTCTTCCAGTTAAAGAAACACACATCACATCAAGTCAGCTCCTGTTGATGAACTTCTCAACTGACTTGGTAAGTCTCGCATGATCCTGTAACTCTCCGTGCACATTGGCCCTTGAGACGGCACGCTCGTTCCTAAGAAAGTGATGAAACGGTAAACATGCAACTGTCGCGCACCATTGCTTTGCTGCTGTTCTCGTCACTCTGTCGCGCACTATGCAAATATGGAACCAAGAGTTTGAGCCAATCACTGCAATGACACATACTAGTGAGGCACTTGCTACTACTAGCGATGCACTTGTTACTACTAGCTTCTTGTTACTACTAGTAAGGCACTTGTTACTACTACGAGTAGCGATGCACTGACACATGAGAACATGCCAACTCAAAGTATGGATCATAGGCTGGATTGGGGCCAAGGAAGTGCAGCGCAGTCAGATGAAAGCGCAGGGAGGCTGAGGTGCGTTTTCTTTGTAAGCACTTGATGTAGTAAGGCACTTGTTCCTAGTAGCGTCCTTGTTCCTTTTACAACTACCGAGAAGAGTGTTTTTGGAAGTGGCTTGTTGTGGTATTGTCAGGTGATGCTTGTGCTGTTCTTGCATGACCAGTGCAGCTGATCAGGGAGAACCCAGCCATTGGGTGCATCTGGTCGGTTGTGGTATAGCTGTGGCGCTAAGCCATCATACAGTACGGAGAAACAATGTTGAGCTATTTTTTAATCAAATCTGGGAACCAAATGAATAGTGCGAAGGCTTCGAGGAGGCCTGAGCTTTCCTGCGTCCCAGCTACTAGGAAGCTTACAGTAGCTTCTTACTAGCTAGTTACTTACTACTAGAGCTACTTGAGTGACTACTAGCGGCCTTCCCCCTTTAAAGAACAGTCGCCACTGCCGCCTGTTGGAGAAGTCCCGTTCCTTTCTCGGGTCAGTCTTCACGATGGCCGCCGGCAAGGTGTTCCGAGTCTCAGAGCTTTCAGCTTTTTGCTTTCAACAAAAGGAAACAAACAAAATGCAAAATGGCAAAATACAAAGTTGCAAACGACCCAAATAGCCAAGTTTAAGCAACCCAACATGGCACTTAAAATGAGCTCAAGATGTCCAAAGTTGCCTGTGTACGAGCTTTCTCTGGAGCACCTGCTGGAAAGAGAGGTCTCTTTGAGCTGACAGGCCTCGGCTAAGCTGGGAACGAGCTTTAAATGACTTCCACCGGCGAAATTGCTCCTAGTAGCTTATCACTATATAGTAGCTTCTTGAGCTACTAGTAGCGTCCTTGCTCCTAATACTTCTTTCTCAAGGCTCCCCACTTCTCACATTTCCGTCGCGTGAACCTGACCTTCCAAATCCTTCCAACATCTCCTAGTTGCCCTTCTCAAGGCTCCCGACTAGCAACAGATCCAAAATCATCCAAACCAACAGCACGCTAGTTTTCATGCCACAAACAAACTCACTTTGGCACCATCCTCGAAAAGCTCAGCTTGCCGCCGCTTCTGGTCCGGATCAACGGCATAGTCTTCAAGCAGAACTGAACCAGGTTCATCCTTGCAATGCCCGGAGCGTAAGACTCAAACATGGCATGTCTTTCTGTCATATTTCTATAATTTAGACTCAACACTTCATCAAACTTCCAATGGAAGCCTAAACTCTTCCCATTTGGCATCGTTTACCAGGGCTGAGCTCGATCACCCCAGACCGAACACGGTTTCTTGCCACCTAACATCCTAAACCTCCTAAGATCTGCACTCGTTTTTGGGCCCAGAAAGGAGGCATGCGAAATGGCTGCCAAAGATTTGCACAGTCTGCTCATCTGTTGCATAGGCATACTCGTGTAACTGTCGCATGGTGGTTGATTGTGAAGGTTCTTCATTTCGAGCTTCCTACGCCTCACTGATTACAACTATGCAGGTGTGACTCAAGTGAGTTTTGATTCAACGTTGGCTCTTGGGCCACAAGCAACATTTTAGCCTTGCAATCTGTCCGTAATCACTCCCTTCTCTTGTGCGCTGCATCACACTCGCGCATGATCTTTTTTCTCGGATTTCTCAGGTTCCTCTCATCTCCGTGTCTTTTTTGTTTGTGAGGTTTGGCCATTTTGACCAACTCACGAATGTTGGACATGTTAGCTACCTTGGTTAAACGCAATATTGAAATCATCAGTCCTTCTTGCTTTGACCAAGGCATCAAGTTCTGATTGCAACTCGTTAAGAACAGCATGAGCTCCAGGCAAAGCACGGAAAGGGGCAAAATCAAAGCCTGTCACGGTTAGTTGAGCGATGCCAGGAGCCCCTAGTAGCGAACCACTCTTCCACCAAGCAAAGCTGAGAAAGGATACCTGATACAATTCATCCACAAGCAGCACCACGTGCTCGAAGTCGCAGTCCAGTACCTGACTCCCAACTTGAACGTTGAAATGGGTTGGATGATCAACTGCCAGTCAATGTGTCAGCGTATCACCTACTCTATGGCTGTGAAGTGTGGGAGTTCTCACTATTGATGGAGCAGGTACCGTGATGCGATTGCAAACGCACTTCTGGAAAATAGCAGAGGTGTTCACGCGCCAGTTTCAGGATGGGTCCATGATCAAACTCCGCAACAAGCCCTTCATCTTTTGTGCAAACAAAAGCAAGACCTTACTTTTTACTGGATGCAAACATGCTGATCCCACACCTCCGGGACCTCAGCCGCAGCCTGTACACTCCAAATCACCTGTCATATTCCAAGAATCCACAAAGAACATGTGCGTAAACAACACATGGTGTCACTCTTGGAAAACAGCATATGGTCCACCTGCATCACAGCCTAGACCTCACGCAGCACTTGGCAAACATCAAAATTAAAGGCCAAGAATTGCAAGTTGCCAAGTATGAGCAGGTCACATTTTCCGACCGACCGCAGAGATTGCAGGGTGAGAAGGCAGGGAGTAAAGCTGAACAAAATAAGTTGAATGGACAGTGAGAGTCCTGCTGCCAATCTCCTAGACACGGCGCTCACAAAGAACTAGCCCTTTTGAGGGCTGACAAACTCTGAAAGGCTCAACTGCAACATTGCGGATTTTGAACTTGCAGATTTTGCAGGATGTCACACTTGAATTCAGCTGTACATAGCACAAGCTTCAAACGAGAACTTCAGCCTCTTGTCCTTCAAAGAAGTATAACCCAAATGGATTTAGAACCTCTGAAGCCAGGAAGCGTGATGTGTGTGAAAAGATAAACATTCTGCGCAGCAGCAGAACCGAAGTCAAAAGACTGTATGATTGAAGGTTTCAGCGTTGAGTGTGGCTGAGAGTGATGCCAATTTGCTCAGCCCCTGTCAGGTAAGTCTCTAAGGTCATTGGATCAACAGCGCCCAAATCATCCTTCTTGGCCGAAGCCTCGGCATCTGAAACCTG